GTACCACCAAGGCAGTTACGCAAGCGTGGTGGATGCGGTGGGCTGTTCTTCTTGCTTGCTTGAACTTGTTGATGATTGGGTGACCGTAAGCCACCCGTAGGTGGCATAGATACGGTCGACGCAGCCCTCCAATCGAAGCCCTTCGCCATCAACCGAATCACACATCCCACACATGCTTGCGGCGGCAGACCTTGTCCTTGACGCGGCCGCGCTCACGAGCAGTGAACTCGCATGCCGGCTTGTTCCCGTTCAGGCCCTTGATCAACTCGTCCCACAACTCGTAGAGTTTGAAAGGCTTCTTCGAAAGTGGGCTGGCAGGGTAGCGGGTGTCGGGGCCCTTGCGGCAGGAGGACGGGCCAAACGCCCAGGGATCCTCGGTGGTGGTGGGGAATCCTGCGCACCTGCGCCAGCTGCAGCAACCACCACCGCCCGCTCGCACCACCGCCGCCAGCTCCCGCAGCACCACCGCCGCCGCCAGCTCCACCGGCCGCACCGGAAGAGGAAGCCTTGGAGAACCGTTGCCACCACCCCTCGCGATCAACTGGAAGTGGTTTGAATCCTCCCAATATTCTTGTTCACCAGCCTACAGCGCGATCCTGCTGTAGGCATAGCAAAAACAAATTTTATGTGTTAAGAAATTTTAGTGTTAAGAAATTATCAGTTTCTTGTTGTGTTTTGTTATCTTGTTTGTGATCTGAGCGACTTTGTCTTTGCCGTTCATGGACTTGGCATTTTCGAGGACTTTGCGAGTTTCGAGCGACTTGCGATCTTTTGCTTGGATTGACTTTCTTCCTCTTGTGTGCGTCAGTGTGTTTGCGAAAGCCTTCGTTCATACCAGTATCGATGTTCCAGTGAGCCAGTCGGTCGTTCGATGTTCCAGTCAGCGAGAAAGGTAGAAACACCCAAAACAAAGGGAAAGACAGGGTAACACATAGAGCCTGGTACTCCATGTACACGGTTGTATTCCTGGTTTGTTAGAGGGGTTATACCTTTACTGTATTCTGCTTCCTTCTGCCGTCGCTTTGTGGCGGTCATACGGCCACCTTTTCCAACCCCAACCGCGGTTCATGTACGGCACCGGTCATGGAAACTACTTTGACAGCTTTGCTGAGTGGCCCAAAACCAGCGTAAAGACGAAGCAAGGAGGCAAGAAAGCAGCAACATTCTTGGGTTTTGTGCCCTTTGGGAATGATGTAGTTTGCAAGGGCAAGTTCAAAGCTAGCTCGGTGTCATGGCGAGGACAAGGAGCAAAAAGAAGCAGAAGAAGAAGGACCGGTCTTCCAGCTGTCCTGTAGCCCACAAACTCCTCCCTTTCCTCGTTTTGGCGGCGCTGTTGTTTGGATCCATTGGTGGCAATTCCCACGCAGTCCAACAGTTCCTTGACGTTGCCTCATACTATTATCGGAATGTCACTATTGCTGTCAGTGATGGTGACCCCATAGCGGTACATGACGAGAACGCTTCTCTCAAAGGGACCGGGACCATGAAGGATACAACAAAGAAGTATCTTGAAGTGGAGCCTGAAGCAGGCCTTATCTCAGCCACACTCAAGCCGAATGTGCAAGAAGCTACACAGCAGCAGGATATCCATCGACCTGGCACACCACTAGAAACAGATTTATCATCATCCTCATTCAACACGACAATTGCCTTTGCTGTCACCATTACATCTTGTCCGAATATGGAAACGGATAACGATCCCATTCCCCTTTGGGATGCCGCGGCCGTCTTGCAACAATCCATTCGCCAGACGCAAGGACGACCCTTTGATTTGCATGCATTTGTCCATTCCACGGCCCGCAAATGTGGGCGCAAGATTTTGGCCAAGTTGGGATATCAGGTGCATATTCTACCCACACCGGTGGCGTTGGAGGAGATTCAAAATGAAGTGTTACGACAACACGTTCTCACGGCAGGGTGTTGTGGAGAAAAGGAGTTTCTTAAGCTCCATGCTCTGACATTGACGCAATATCAAGTCGTGGTCCATTTGGATCTCGATACCATTTTACTCAAACCATTGGATGTCTTGTTTGACGCCATGCTGTCGTCGTCTACTGGCGAGTGCACCAACGCCCTTTCCCGTCTTCTATCAGACAAGAAGCAAGACAATCCCTGCAGGTCTCCCATCCAGGCATTCTTTACCCGTGACTACAATTTGGCCCGTAGTTCCAAAACCAATCTACCGGATATCAAACGCGTCGGCGTTCAGGGAGGTTTCTGGATGGTGAAACCAAATCAAACTGTCTACCATCAACTCGTGGAAATGATTCGGCACGGCGCCAACTTTACCAAAGGCTATGGATGGGGCGGTCCGACCCTGGGAGATCCTTCGTGGTACTATGGAATTGCGCAGATGCAAGGGCTGTTGAGTTATTACTATGGATACGTGGCACCCGGGACCGCCGTCGAACTCGATCGCTGTGTCGTTAATGCCATGGCCGATGCCCCCAATCCTCGCTTTTGTAGCAGCAACAACGAAGCGCATTACTGTCACGATTGCCGTCGGACCTTGTTGGAACACATCTATTCCGTCCACTTTACCATTTGTCAAAAGCCGTGGTGGTGCTACACCAACGAAGACGATAATCCACTGTGCCTTCAGTTGCATCACGAATGGCATCGTTTGCGTCATGATTGGGAGCACAACATCACCGCTGCTCGTGCCGGTTTCATCACCAACAACGTACAAACCTACCGGCAACTCATCCTCAAGTTTCCGACCCACTGCCACGGGCGAGAGTCGTACATTCCCATGAAGCAGGAGCAGCAGCAGATATGAGTGGCAAGACAGCAGCTTGGTTGCATCACGTGGATCGACACCAGATTTGGGATTTCCGTCCGGGCGACAACCGAAACTGTTACGTTGCGCCGTCCTGCATTACAGTCAAACAAAACGCTGCAACGAACACCGCACACATTTGGAGATTCGACTGTCATGGATCCTAGGACGCAAATGAGTTTCGTCGCACGAGGACAGTGTCTGTGGGAACACGATTTCAAATTTTGGCCAATGCAATAGACTTTCGCTTCAAGTGTTTGGGATGCTTTCAAGTCTAAATGATCACGTGTCAACGTGCAAAGAATGAACGCTATACTTGGTAGCTTATATGCACCAACCTGTAACGGTCAGTCAGTCTTCTTGGAGCTTTCTCATTTTTACAAACTGGACACGGGCACCATCCAAAGTTGATACTGCAGGAAGAAATCCTCCAGGGTGTGACTTTAGATGATCACATAGATTGTCGACGACATTATGAGAACCATTTCTATTTCCATTGTTGTTTTCCCAGGAAATGTTCAAGGTACCATTTCCTTCATTGCTGGGGTTCAGATTGAGTGTCAGTGTGACTTCTGTGCCGGCCTGAATACCACGCCTTTTAGTTTTCTTCCGCTTGCCATTTTCGTAGGATTTGCCAACGGCATCCAATCCCCAACCTACCTTCCGGTGTCCAAGTTGACTTTCATCTTCCACAGATGTTTGGGTGCAGACAATCCCCAACACAACACCTGGGTATCTATCACCATCTTTTAATAGCTTCACTGTCCATTGGTGGATACCGTTCTCGATGGGAGCGCACACGAGAGTGTCTGTATTGACACCAGACTCATCCAAACCGGTCACTGTATTGCGAGATTTTTTCCAGACATGGAAATATCGTGATCCTTGAAAAGGCACAGAGTGAGCTTGTTCTGCATGCAGGGCTTGGTTTTTGTAGGCTTCATGGATTTGATCAGACATGAACAGGCCAGATGAGGCAACAGTATCAGAGAGAAGTGAAGGATTTATTTTTTCCAGCTTGATGTTGCATCCAAGCTCTTTGGCAATCGATTTGCGATTCTTTGGGTTGATTTGAAACCATTGAACCAGAAATAGAACAAGATTGTACTCATGAACCATCATTTGATCATCCTTGAGAATCTTTTCCACCAGAGTTGCATCCACACATGCAATTGCCTTTGAGCTCATGAGGGCATCGTCCTTGGTTCGGACCAATAACCAGGCAGGCTCAGCCAATTCTGCTGGAACCGAGGGGCCTGCTTTGTGGCATGCTGCCAAGAGCGCCAATGACAAGGATGGAGTACTTTCCAAGGACTTTGAGATGCTCTTCTCGATCTTCTGGACAAGGCTAGGTAGATTGTAGTATGTGGCAGCCGTAGAGAGCCCCACCAGTTTCTCGGTGTGTTCCTTGGCCTGATTCCACAACTCTGTCTCATTCTCATTACAGGCCTTTCGTTTCTTCCCAACAAGACTAGAACATGAATCTGTATGAATGTATTCCACAATATCCTGCATGATGCTTCCACCAAAGCCAACAGTTACCTCAGGCTTGTTGGATTCAGAGAAATTTCCCAGAAACATGCGGCGAAATACTGGAGATCTGATGGACAAAACAAAGCGGTTTGCCTCTACTTTTGTGCCATCATTTGCCAGCAAGGTTACATCATGAACTTCCTCATCAGTCAGAAAGCTTGATAGAACCTTGTCAAGGGGAACTTCATTGTCAGTATTGTTCATGTTGTTGGTTTCAGGGAGGTTGTTTGCTCTCTTGTCAAACTTTTACTATGGGCATCTCGAACCTTGCTCTGCTTGGGAACGGAAGGTGAGCGTGGAATCGTTACGATCGTGGAGTTCATCACGATCGTCCAGTGGTTGCAGTCCCGCAAGCAATCTGATGACGCCTCAAAAGCGAAAGGTGTCAGCTAGTAAAAAGATCTGGGCTCAACAACCCGAGAGCTTTGTGGCCCACATTCAAAAGCCTTGGCTCTCTTTGGTGGAATGAATAATCGCCAATAGAGGAGCCACCGGTACAGAGCCACAACAGTGAGTAGTTCTGCTCACAATAAGCTGTCATGATGATGACAAGTCCAAGGCGGAATCTGTTGGTTTGGCATGGTGTGGCCATTCTGTGGGCTTTCTGTGTCCTCAGTTTCGTGGGAGGATTTTCATTATCGACTACATCCACCAAACCGACGGCTAATAAAAATCCACATAGCTTATTGCTCTTTGCAGTCGATAACAAGAATGATAATGACAATTCACATCCCTTTTTTGCCATTGACGAAGATGATACCCCTCTACCATCACCCACCTCCACGCCTCTACCTTCTTCCACTTCCTCGCCTCCACCATCATCTTCCAATCCCTTTAATAAGGACAACGCTCCCAAGGGCGAAATCATCTTGAGCCAAGAAGCCTGGGAACTTGTGATTGCCATTTGGGATGTAGCGGGCGAGCTTGCCAAACGACTCTTTTTTGCCATGCGTCGTACGGCTGCTGGCGCCTTGACGGCATCGCTCCCCGAAGACGAACGACAAGAATTGTTGGAGCGAACCTTTGGCAAGCAACGAGTGGCGGCCGCATTGAGTGTCCAGGAAAGTGTGGCAGCGACAAAAGTTCAGAAAGCGAGTCGACAAGATCCCGCCCAATGGCAGAAAGAAAAGGCGGCCATTTACAAAGAAGCCGAACAAGCCGCCATGGATCGGATGGAAACCGAATTGGCCATTCAAAAGGCACGGATGGATCAGGAAAAGAAACAGCTGGAACAAGCCGCGCAACAACAATTGACGAAAGAGCAGCAGAGTTTGGAACAACAACTGCAGGAGGAAATCCAACAGCAAAAAGAAGCCCTGCAAACACAACAAGGAATTGAACAGGCAGCCGCCGTCCAAGAACAACAACTCAAATTGGCGGCCGTGGAAGAAGCTTTGCGAGAAAAGGAAGAACAAGCCGCCGTGGATCGCGCCGAAATGGAAGAGCTGGCACAAGCATTGGAATTGGCCAAGGCAAATATTGGTGTGTCAGTGGCACCAGCACCGTCAGAAGAAGTAGACGAACAGGTAATAGTAGAAGTTGAGAAGAAAGAGGGAGAAAAGCCGCGTATTCATGCCGGTCGATATACCCCCGAAGAATACAGGGATTTGACCGACGAAGAAAAGGAAGAGGTTCGAAAGTTGAGAGAAAAAGTAGGGACTGAACAACAAGAACAACCAGCCACGACAGCGGATACTAGCGATGATGAGGATGTACACCCCGTGTTGGGGCCTGTCATTCAAGACCTGGGATACAAACGAATTCATCTCTTGTCAGCCGGAAGATTGGGCACCATTCCAATTTGGAAGAAACAGCGAATCTACAGACACCAGCGGGCAAAGGCAATGGTAGAAGACAAGTGGAGGTCCATGTCGTTGGGGTTACCCGGTGTGATTTGCTTGCATGAAGATAAGGATGGAAAGCTGAGTATCCTTGATGGACAACACAGAGTCGGAATGATGATGCTGCTGCGAGACAGGCAACGAAAGTTTCAAGAAGAAAACAACGGCAATGATGATAATGACACTGTGATTGACTTTGACAACGTCTTGGTAGAAGTCTATCCTCACCGCGAGAACTATGGCGACAATGATGAACAGCATGCACAAGATTTGTTTTTGGAAATCAATAAGGCAGAACCCATCAAGCTGGTGGACTTGCCGGGGGTAGCCAATGCCAAAGATCGCAAGATTTTGACCGCTGCCGTGGATGAATTGTACGAACTGTACCCTGACATGTTCAGTCCCAGTCAGCGATGTCGTACTCCGAACGTCAATGTGGACAATCTGCGCAATCAACTGTACGGTGCCGATCTCTTGAAAAAGCACAACTTGACCACAACCAAGAAACTGAAAGCGTGGATCCTGGAACAAAATCAGATCTTGGGTGACAAGTATGAAGGTAGCGAGGAAGTCCGTGGGACCATCAGCCCGAGGGCATGGAAGAAAGCCACCGCAAACAAGTTCTACTTGGGATTGGAAAGCAACTGGCTTTATAACTAACAATTGGCATATTTTTTCTCCTACAAGATTCTACATGTAGACTGTATCGTTCTCTTGGTCTCCTTTCATTGCACTCTAGCACTAGCTAGGTACCAGTACATGGGAGTCCAGTATTGTGGCGGTTAGGGCAAATACCACGAAGATGATGCCTGAACGTTTGAAACAATTTCAATTTTGCCGATTCAAAATTCCAATTTTTGATTTCTCACAATTCCAGTTTTCATGACTTCTCACAATTCCAATTTTGGGTTTCTCACAATTCAAATCTTCCTGATTTCTCACAATTCAATTTTTGATTTCGACTTCTCACAATTCCAATTTCAATTTTCGTTTTCTCACAATTCAATTTTTGCCGATTTCACACAATTCATATTTCTGATTTTGATTTCTCACAATTCAATTTTCAATTTTCGATTTCTCATAATTCCAATTTTCAATTTTCGATTTCTCACAATTCATTTTTTGTCGATTTCTCACAATTACAATTTCGAATTTTGATTTCTCACAATTCATATTTATTGAATTCTCACAATTACAATTTCGAATTTTGGATTTCTCACAATTACAATTTTTGATTTTCGATTTCTCACAATTCTTTTTTTGTGGATTCCTCACAATTCATATTTTATTAATTTCTCACAATTAAAATTTTCGATTTCTCACAATTAAAATTTTGCCAATTCCTCACAATTCATTTTTTCTTGATTTCTCACAATTCAATTTTCGATTTTCGATTCCTCACAATTCAAATTTTGGCGATTCCTCACAATTCAAGTTTTCTCGATTTCTCACAATTCCAATTTTATCTGTCTTCTCACAATTCCATTTTTTCTGACTTCTCACAATTTCAATTTTCATATCTTCTCACAATTTCAATTTTCACTTCTTCTCACAATTTTAGTTTTCTCATCTTCTCACAATTCCATTTTTCCTGGTTTCTCACAATTCCAATTTTTCCAACTGCTCACATTTCCAGTTTTCTTGATTTCTCACAATTTCAACTTTCCTGATTCATTCCTCACAATTTCAGGGCCGCCACAATTACCTCAAGATTGATTTCCCACGCATGAATCCGTCTGGTAACCAAGCGGCTTAGCCTGCTTCTTCTTTTCCAAGTGTCCGTTTTTTGACGACCGCGTGTGAAGAGACCACACGACGACCACAGACCAAGCACTTTGCTGGACAAGCTAGTAGAAGGTTCGACCTGCCTCTTGTCTCTTCTTCTTTGACTCTCATAGTACGCCCCATCGATAAACGAGTACTAGCTAGATCCATCCATCCCTGTACTTGTTAGTTAGTTTTCTCGTGGGGAGTTGCTTGTGATTCGATTCGAGATCCTCGCGACGACAATTTGCGAAAGATACCGGGTTTTAGTAGTCTTGTACTAGCTAGCTAGTCAATCCAGTGCATCTTTTAATTGTCCAAGATGATGATGGAAGAGACGGACGAGGGCTCTACGGGTGGCGACAGTAGTGAAGCTCCCAGTTTTGCCATGCCACCGGGAGGGATGAATGACGATGCCAGCAGTGCTTTGAGTGCCGATAACTCGACGCAGACTCCGGCTCCTGCCGATCCTTTTGACCTACTCTCCATGACGGGAGCAGCTCCTCCTGTTCCTGCCAACAATAACAGCAACACTGCACCTGTCTTGGATGTCTTTGGGTCCGCACCGGCGGCTCCTGCTTCCGATTTCTGGGGAGGAACAACAACCCCGGCCATTGATGTTTCTGCCCAAAACAGCATGATCATACCAGGACAACCACAACAAAAACCTCAGCTGACGACGGCCGAGTCGGGAGACTTGCTGGGCTTGGATGGAAGCAGTACGAAAGTACCGCCAACATCGCACAGTCCGCCTCCTCGGGATTTAATGGATTCGTCCTTTCAGCAGCTCCCCGTGGAACCGCCCATCACGGAAACCGCGGACCCGTTTGGTGGCGCTACAGATGTGTTTGTCCAACAACCACCAGCAGCAGCAGCCGAAACAATAATGAGCAGCCCACAACCGACGACCAAACAACAGAACAATGGAAATGACAATTTTCCCAATCCCTTGGCAACTCCTCATCCTGTTGTAGTGGAAGCGCCAGGCAAAGCATCGACAACAACAAACACCAATTCAATCAACTCGAACGAACAAGCACCACCTGAGACTGCGGGTGAACAAAAGTTGGAGTCTTCACAGCGAGGAGAGGATGCCAATAATCCTTCCGAAAACGAGACGGACGACAGTGCCAAGAAAGAAACCAAAGCCCCACCCAAAGAAGATACTTTAACAGCTGCTACTCCCGAATCCGACTCTTTGGCAAATAACGTGCCAGCGGCTAAACAAGAAGCATCGAAACCACCAGAGACATCAGATGATGATGTGCAATCCAAACCTGCCGATGACCAGGCAGGAACACCCGAACCCCCTGCCCCGTCGACTCCATCCAAAAAAGGGAAACCACCATCTCCGCCCAAAAGCCCCGTGCCATCCGGAGATGATATCATGGATGAATCCGTCATGTTTGAAGAAGTGGAATTGGCGTCCCCAGCGACAACACCAAAAGAGAAGGACAGCGCTACCAACGAAGCCGCAGTGGCAACAGAATCGATAAAGCCTCCTCCTTTTACTGTGGATAATAATACAGATGATGCACCCGCACAGGACCTGCCAGACGTTCCACCGACGACAACAGCAACTGCTGGCAACGACGAGCAACAAGCCAAAATTAAGGAATTGGAAGAAAAACTCGCCAACAGCCAACGACAGGTGGCCAAAGTCAAGGCTCTGGAGGCAAAACTGGGAGTGCTCGCAGAACAGGCCGCCAAAATTAAGGACCTGGAATCGAATCTCGCGCAAGCAGAAGCCAGGGCGGGAAGTCTCACGGCACAAAAAGAACACAGCGAGAAGCAACACAAGGACCGCCAGGAAAAGGCCGATGTGGCCCTAAAGGAACTGCAAAACAAATTGCAAAAAGAACAAACGCTACGAGCCGAAGCCGAACACAAATCAAAAAAGGCGAGTGAGGAGATTCAAACGCTACGCAAATTGGCGACGGAAAAAGAAGAACAATGGAAGCTCCAAGGTGATGCATGGAGAGAACAGTTGGGTGGCTTGGAAAAAGAAAATGAAGCTCTGATTGACAAAGCCAAACGAGAACTGGAAGATCGAAAGGAGCATGAACGAAGAGAACGCGTTTTGGCCAACAAGTTGAACATGTTGAAAAAACAACAAGCATCCACAACCGATGTGGAGGAAGTGTATGCCGATGACCTTCGGTTGTTGAAGGACGACGTGGATGCCAAGACAAAGCGCATTGCGGAACTAGAAGTGTCCGAAACTTCTCTGAAGGAACAGTTGGAAAAGGAGAAGGCACTTGCGAATACGAGGATTGATCAATTGGAGAAGGCTGTGCGGGAAGAAAAGTATTTGAATGAGGAACGCAAGAAGAAAATGAAAACGTTCATCGAAGCCAAGACAGAGGAGTTGAAGGAGGCAAAGTCAGAGAGTGAAAGCTATCAAGCGGAGCTGGAACGCAATAATCAGTCACAGGTTGACCTCAACAACCGATGGAAAACTCTGCATGCACAGTGGGTTCAGTCGCAGACACGGAATCGCGAGCTACAACGTGATTTGAACAAGGTTAAGAAAGAGTACGAGAATAGGCACAAACTTGAAGACTCGCTGAATGTCAAGCTCTCAAAATCTGCCAATGAAACGGAGCAGCACAAGAACAAACGGCTGGCTGCAAAGCAAGAATTGATGTCTGTCTTGGCGAAACTAGAAGCTGAACGTGAGATCACCAACAAACTGCGAGACAGTGTCCGCTTTACCTTCACTGCCAAGGCACAGAGCCAGCACCAGCTGCTGCAGGAGGCTCTCACTGAATTCAACAAACAATTGGAGTCCTTGGCCCGACGCCTCGGCCGACCCATACCCTTGACCAGCGATGGAGGTCCTCAATCCTTATCTTCCCTTGTCATGTCCGCAGTTGATGAATCAGAACGGAGCGAGGGCAGCCTTGACGGAAAGGCAGCTGCCAATGGCACTAATGGCGGCCATGATGGTGGTCCGTCCAAGGAGCAGAAGCGAATTCTAGCAGAAACCACTCGGCTTCTGGCAAAACTGGAGAATGAAACTCAAAGAATCAGTCAAGGCATCATGGCTCTCACGAATGGCATTGAACAAATGAACACCCTGATTCTTGGTGGAGGTGAAAAGACTTGTTTCACATCTATTGGCGATATCTTCTTTGGTGGGGGGTTGGCGAAGGCTGCAGACCAGGGTCGCTCAGCGAGAACCCCAGTCCGCTATGGCCATTCCAGCCACTTGCCTACTGAGAGTGGTACCATGACCTAGACTCCAATGGGTTGGTTTCAGGCTTTTGTAGTGGTAAATCAATACTAGAATGCTAGCTATCAGTACATATATTATTAATGGTTGCAGGGTCATTTAGTTCTCAAATCCGTAACACATTGAAGGTCGTCGGGAATCGTGGCCCGGTCTGCCTTCGGGCTCTCTGCAATGATGGCCAAGCAAGAAGAATCGAGGTAAGCAAGGCTTGGAGAGCTGGAGTGGCTAGAATGCTCGGGGGCACGGCAATGCGTCGAGATACAGCAACCACTGCTACAAATCTCTGTTGTTGAATTGAATAGACAGGCTCGAAGGAACGATACATCGAGGACCGAATCCTCCGATCAGAAATCCGAGGGGACGCCGAGGGATAACACCGGTCTCTTCGTTTGGTCCCTCCAGTTTTTTCCAACTGAACTAATATTGCCTGGCAGAAACCTGCCGAGCATGAAGGACTTCGTCGACTCGGCTTGCCCAGCCCTTCATCAGACTCAGTGCACAGTTTCGCCTCGGAAAACTGTCACTCGAGCACAAGATAGGCTAAATACATTGTCAGACGAGCTAGATGGTTGATGTGCGTGGGTATTTTTCTTTTATGAGATGAACTTTCTTTGGGTATTAACAGTAACGATCGGAGATCATCAAGAAAGTTGCGAGGTGTGATCTATTTGAAACCATACAGCAATAGCGTCAAAAGGTGGGATCGAGCGCGTAGCAGTGAAACGCCGTTTAGATCGTGTCCTCCACACCTTCGTTGTTCCAGACCCAACGATCTCCTCGCTTTTCGACAGACGCGCATCCCTTGCTTACTCGCCAGACCGCTTCGTGGATGGGCGTAGGATCGTAAAAGTAGTATTCGGGAAAGTTTTCCTTGATGGCATCCGTGGCGGCCTGGGCCTTGTAGTGAGGGATGGTCGAATCAAAATGGTGAGCCACATGCGTGGAACCAATCTTGTGATGCAAAAAGTCAATAGCTCCCCAGGGATCCATCTTGTCGTAGGGACGGTCAATGGTGTGCAAAGCTCCCTTGACAAAGTTGTGGTTGTCCATTTCAAAATGTGGGACGTCCGTGTCAGTGTGTTGCAACCTGTTTACGTTGATGAGGATTATTTTTGGAACGAGTTAGAGTGTGTCGCATAGAACAAACAGTGACATCCGCATCAACAATAATATCACCAAAACGTACCATGTGTACAGAACCAACCAAGCATTCACGACAATAAGTGGACCACCGTACAAGGCCATGACCTGTGGCAATCCATTGCAGGCAGTCCATGCAATGAGACTTCCTACGACGGCAGCAATACCAATATCAGACTTGAAGACCTTTTCCTTCCAGTTTCCTGGGAAGAGTTCCTTTTTGGGGATATCCGGTGTGGTCAATGGATCAGGCCAGAAATGGTTGGTCATTCCACGTCCAGTACCTCCAGTGGCACCAATCAAGAGGTATGCGGGCCATCCCACTCCCAAATGCAAAAATGCTTGCCAAACACCCCATACTTTCATTCCTACGTCCTTGCCCAGCAACTTGACCACGGATGCTCGTTGCGCGAAGGCTCCTTCGTCCTTGCTGTACATTTGTTCGGGTACGTGTGTTTCCCCCAACTCGATATTGTTGGTGTATTGATGATGCACAGCGTGCGACCGTTGCCAGGAAAAGTAGGGGACCAACATTAGTGAGTGGAAAAAATATCCAACCGAGTCTTGGAGGAGCTTGTTTTTGGAAAAGGCTCCGTGTCCGCACTGACGCAGAAAAGTGAATAATAGTGGTGACAACGAGAAAAGGCAAAAGGTCAGACAGGCATTATCTACCCGGTCATTAGGGGTTTGTTTTCTTCTGTTCTGTTGTTGCACGCACCTCATGACTGAGCACCCAAAGTCCCATGGCCACGGTTCCAGTAACGGCCGAATAGAGTCCCCAGAAAGGCCATGTCAATGGATTGGCAGGGTTCAACAAACCACAGACGGAGACACCAAAGGCGGTGCAGATAGCGGTTCCAATCAAAGAGACGGACAGGTATCCTAGCGATTTGGCGGTATCTGGTTCAAAGCAGTCAGCTGGAATCACCTTGCGAACTTCAGTAGCCATGGGGAAATCTTCGTGGTTCAAGGTGAGCGCCTTGCCTTCAAGGCCCTACGGAAAGAAGAGAAAGAGCAAGCATCATTAGATCACAAACACTTCAAAAGGAGCAGCGAATTGGTTGGCACCCTCCCATGTTTTTTATGAGGGGGATATTTGCTCTTTTTTGGACTTACAGAGAGAACAATCCCAGTCATGTCCATTTTGTATTCACTGTCCTTGTCCTCGTCACTCTGTGGCGGTGGTGGCGTCATTGGTGCCTTGGGGGTAACCATATCACCTACAGCAATAGATGCCCTCAAGACTGGACTTGAGGTTCTTGGAGCGAGATGAGCAGCTCTGGTTCCCACGGGTTGAAAAGCACTGGATGTGACGGCAAGGCTGGCCAAAACAGCAGCAGTGGCAGTAAATCGGACCATGGTTGGACTTGATTTAATTTTTTTGGAGAGTAGCTTGGGTATGCTTTTTACTTTGGAGGAAGAAAAGAATTGTACCTTTAACAAATTCCGGTGGAGTGCAAGTACCTTTGGTTGGGAAATTGTGGCAGAGTGATGATGCAGGGTCTGGTTGAAGAGGAAGTGTGTCGACGTTGCAAGATACGCAGGCAGAGGATCGTTGCAATGATGATGATTTTGCCTTTTCGCCACATTGACCGAACGCATTGGCTTTCGGAACACGTACGCGCCAAGTCAGCATCCGACCTCACAAGTTCTGATTGGTGCAACGACAAATAACAAATAAAAAAGGCTAATTGATATGACTTAACGAAATTGTTATGCGACCACTCCAAAAACAGCTGAAGTTGCTGCTTGGACAACACAAAGGTGTTGTCATTTGAGGTGTATCGTTAGAGTGGCTGGACCTTTGATGAAAACAGCTGGCACTTGTTGATGATGGACCATCTAAAGAGCGCAGCATCACTCTTTCCTCACTTTTTCAGAGAGCTCAGAGCTCGACCGACCAGAGCTAGAGCAGGCAACCGTGCGTGACAAGCTCGCTTTCCAGCTTTTCGGTCACATTTTTTGCCCAGGCCTCTCAAGAAATCCTCGCTTGTTTGTGCTACAATACAGACAGCTGTCCAAGGGTACAGTACAAGGGTATGTAGCATGCCATGCACCGTTAGGCACCACCGTCCATGAAGCCGGTCTGAGATCTATTAAAATAGTTTCCCACATGGTGTACAGAATACCATGTCCCTGCGCCCCTCTCTGAGCCACCTGGACCACCATTCTTGCTAGCCCTTCCAAAGACGCGAAGATCCCTGAGGCCGGCACAATTTTCTTGAGAGTATCAAGCATGGAAATCTTGCAGCCAACCGTCCACCAGTCCTTTTCGAATGGGACTTCACCCCTAATATCCAGCTTGCCTTGGCCGTGGGGCTTTTTATTTGTTACATCGTAGGATGCCCTCTCTACAACATTGTTGCCCACCATCTACGGCTACAACCATGGCTGGGTCTGATCGAACCTGTTCGAACCATGACTTCCCAAGACTCCATTCTTACTGCTGGACCACGTTTCTCCTTGTCTATTACAAAATCCATCTTTTGGTTGTCAATTGAGATGCCGGGACATTCCATGGTTGCAATGGTTGGTGATGCTGAAGTTGAACGACAAATCTGGAAAAATCCAAAGTCCAAACAAGCCACAAATGATGTTCGCTTCCATGGAAGCAAACATCCATGCGAGGACCTACCATGCAATGGGTATCTGAGAAACGGTTGAGGAATCGATCACTGATGCTTTGGGCCCGGTGGTCGCAAATCAAAGCTCAGTGGACATTGACCAAACATTGCTTCATTTGGAAGAGCCCATTGAGTGAGACCGCATTTGAACACTCGAAGTGAGAGTCAACGAACAGCAATGCTCCGAACTACTCACTTGAAAATCCATGGGTTTTTTACCAGGTGTGATGTCAAAGGTTGATATCTATCTGAATACGAACTGTGAGTGGAAAACGAGGGAGATGTCGAGTTTGCTGTAGCCGGTAGGAACCAAGTTCTGTACAGCACTAAACGGCTAATCTTCTAATATTCTAGCTATTGGATACAAGTAACTATCATAGCTAGACGAAACTTCAGGTCGCGATTGGTTTGTTCGAGGGTTGAAGAAAGCAAAGGAACCTGACTCGTTGAGCCACCATACCCCCCCCCACCCTCAAAGCGTGGACGATCATCGTGAGGGGTCAACAAGCAAGTTTCGCGGCGCCCAAACATGATGCCACTCTTGAGTCAATGTTGCCAATGACTTGGGCTCCCGCGAGAACAACCGTTGCAGAAACTCAACAGCCGCTCTTGTTGTCAAGGTGCACGAAGAGAGATGCAGATGGCCAGCAATGCTGTACGAGGCAAAGCTTTGAAGCGTAAAGCACGCTGCTTGTATCATTACTTGGCTTCTTCATCCTGGTGAGGTATCAATGGAAAGAACCACAATGATGTCCTCTCTTTGGTTCGCGTTTCTCTGTGTTGCTGTCTTCAGCATTGGGGCGTTCTTGTTGCCGCCGTCTTCGGATGCTTCTTTGCGGAGACGGCTCAACAGTACCGTATGGAGAGAAGATCCACTAAGCCATGAAGCAGAAGAAGACAAACCCTTCACTATTATCTTTGTCAGTGACTTGGAAAACAGATATCGAGGACACGACATTCGCCGATCACAATACGTTGTCAACTACATTAAAAACCTCAAAGACAGTAATCTGGTTTTTAATCAACCCTACAGTGACATTTTCATCAAGCCAAAACTGGTCATCCATGGAGGTGACATTAGTCACCAGTGGTCTTGCAACGGATTCAAGTGGTTCATTTTGGGAGGTTGTCGAAATGCTCAGGACGAGTACAAGGATGTGTGGGATCGATTGTACAAGGCTGGAATTCCCATGATCAGTGCCTACGGCAACCATGATTGGAATGCTCGAGATGGAACTGGCAATCCTTGGGGCAGTGAGACGGATCAACCCAGGGACGAAAACACAGATTTCATCAATCGATGGAGTAATGAGTTTACCACATTGAGCTATGAGAAATCTGCCAAACTAACCAATGGCAATCTGGAATATGAGGAATTTTACCCCACGGGAGACATTGGCCAGTCCATGTTCCGAGCAACGTATGGTGGCATTCAAATTGTCAATTTCAACTCGGCCTTCAATTGGCAATCCTACGATCGAACTGATAATGGCATGGTGTACGACGCGGATGACCAGTTTGAAAGGCTCTCCAGAAGTTTGGATCGAAACATGAAGACAATCTTCTTTGAACATTACCCTCTCAACAAGGGCGGGAGCATTGGCAGCCAATCACCCAGTCGAAACACAGCACTCTCCCTCATACGAGAGTTTGGAGAAGGCGTAGCACACTTCTCGGGACACTTTCATGTGAACCGTGTGTACCCCTACACAGCGGCTGAACCAAACTTCAATGACTATGTCGCTCCTTACCCTCATATCTGGAATGGGAACGAGCCGGGCTTTTTAGCCATTCTAATGTCACGAACTCAAGGTGTTCTGCAGGTCAAAACGTTGGATATCCCAGGACTGGAGGATGGAGACAAATGCATGCCATTCAACTACGTGAATATTCGAGAGGCGTTTTTTGGTTTCTGGCCGGAAACCAATGACTGGTTCAAAACATATGCTAACGAGGAAAGACCAAACGAGGATGGAGGAGATGAATCGTCCGCCGCCACCCCCCGAGACAATAGTCTCGGCAGCAATGGCGCCAATGAACTTGGCAGGGGAACCATCAGTGACGCCACTCGGTGCTGCAATACATGTAAGTCCGGAAAGCAAAGTTGGTCCGGAGAAGTAGGATGGTTTGTGTGTGGACAAGTAGATGACGAGGCGGAGGCCCGCCTTGAAGAAATCATCGAAGTACCCGAACTTGAAACGTGGAGCGAGGAAAGTACAAGATAGCCAACTGTGGGGGTGAGGGCTCAGGCAGATAGACTGCCGAGGTAAAGAGCGCCATTGGCATCAGTAAAACGCATTAGTCTACTGTCTAATGGCAGAGAAGGGTTCAGATGGGCACCTATGTTTCTGGTTGTAGTTCAACGACGTCATGTCGCTATGTCACACATTCAATCAGCAACCAAGCAAGCATTCAATTGATCATTGGGCCACACTGATCCTTGTATGCAAGACACCTTCGTGATTAGGCGCAAATAATCCATCTGACTAAAGACTAGTAAACCATAAAACATTTAATGGAGGCACTGAACATCCACAATTGTGGCACTTCCTCTGTAGCACGACACAACTGGTGCAAAGGAAGCAGTGGTCCCTTCCAAATGTGCTCGCACATTGGAAATTGCCTTGATGGTTGCTCCACCATCTACTGAAATTGAGAGTAATCCATTGTCTGTATTTCCCTCTGACAAGTCCAGAGTCAGGGTGACACGTGACCCCCTTCCAAATTTGGCAGCATCACCAAGTGTATGTGATTTTGTACCGCCACACCACACTGTCCCAGAACCATGAACTCCCCAACACCAACCCAGATACCCGCAAAAGCTATCCAGAATGATACCATGTGTAGATCTTGTCACACCAAGCCAAAAGCGAGGACTTTTGGAGGCAGAATCTGTGCTGACAGTCCAACAATACTTGCTACCCAACACGAGTGGAGTTCCCTTCATAGAATCACACCCCCACTTGGAACTTCCACTAATGAGTGTTTTGGAATTGGAATAATGCCACTTTGTTGGGCCAACTGCAAAACAGGGTTTGTGAAAAGATACCTTGTGATCATGCTTGGCTCTCTTTGCTTGTTTCATCAAGGCACTTAAAAGTTGTGCATTGGTAACCAAGCCTGAAGAGCAAATCTGATTCTCCAAGACTTCTGGGTCAATAAATTCTAGTTCCACATGGTCTTGAACCAAGACCTTGGCAGCACTGATGCGTTCTTCTTTCGTCTCGCCCGGAGCTGAGGGCTCACATTTAGACCATGAATGGCAAAGATTGAAGATCTTTGTACTGTTAATCTTTGTGATGGCATCTTGAAGGATAGTTGTTAGGGTGGAAGCTGAAACGCTGGACAGCACCACTCCATGCAAGTCTCTACTCATCCCATTGAAAACTGTCCAGGCCTGATTTATCAATTCCTCAGAAATCACTGGCCCATTTTGCGTTGATGCTTCTAGAATGGAAAATGCTGTGGATGAGTTTGATTTTATGTGGGAAGCAAGGCATTTCTGAGCCCTTTTGCATAAGCCTGGCAACCCAACATAGCTCGCTGCTTCTGTCAAGGATACCAATGCTTTGAAATCAGCCATGATATCCGCAGCCAGCTCAGAAGATAGAACAGCACCATCAGCAACCAAGATGCTGGCGTTGCCAGTATGGATGTACTCCACTATTGCCTTCAGGATCTTGCCATCAAACGCAATGGGGATCACACTTTTGGTGGATTCCTGGAATCCACCCTTTTTGAACATTTTCTTGAAGTACGGGCTTCTGATGGACAAGGCCATTCGATTTGCAGGAACCATCTCTCCATCTGAGCCCTTCAGGGAGACATCATGGTACTCTTCGTCTGTCATCATGCTGGCGAAAGCTTCCGAAACCGACAACTCCATGGTTTCAGCTGGAATGCTTGCTTCCGGTTTTGCGGTGGACATTGCTCTTTTTGGACCTTTTGTAGTTTGAAAGTCGCGTCGTAGCTGTAGCGTGATCTGCTTGTTGGTTTCTCCTGTTTCCTGTATGTCTGGCTGGTTGTGTGCATGTTCGTAGTTTGTCAATTCGGAGTTGTGTTGCGCCTAGCACGCGAAATGTGTGGGCGTCCACGGTGAGTGGAATCGCACCGCCACGATGGTACGGAGTAGCCACGCTCCGGCTCCACGATGGAGTGGTGCAACGAGCCATCGATACCGCAGCGGCAGACGAAATCACTCGAAGTCTTGCGGATCGAATCATTCTACCGGAGCTCTACTGGCCACGAGCCACGATAAACAGTTTGCGTCCAAGAAAAATGGATGCAGCAGGCGCCAAAAGCAAGTAGTATTAAAGATTATGGTTTGGTGAATTCCCCCGTAATTTTATCGGCATCCAGATAGGGTTGTCTGGTCTTCGAGCGTTCTTCTTCGACAAAGACTCCAGTTGTAGGATCCCGTAGGAATCTCCAAGGCACAATGGGCGCCGGCCAAATGGTGCGAACGGTTCCCGTCTTTAATCGTTCCGGTCCCTTGTCATGAATGAGTTCGGCCAATCTCCAAATGAGTTCGTACCAGTGTTCATCGTTCTTGGGAAAGGATAGATATTCGTGATAGAATTTCTTTCCATTTTCGGCAATCTGTTGGACCTTTTGCGGATTGTCTCGTACCCACTCCATGACTTCTTTGAGATCGGACAAGTTTTCTTTGAGTGGAATGTAATGCACGTAGGGTGTCATGTACTTGTAGAACCACTCTTCGTACTTGAATCGTTGCAAGACAATGGCCTGTCCGGCACTCAAATGCTTCGGGGTGCGAAAGGCCGCCCCAATGCCCCCCAAGACGACCACGACTTGATATTCGGTGTAATAGCTGGACGACGGAATTTGAATATCTTCGTCTCTGTGATACTTGGGACCCCATCCAAAGAGTTGATCCATCCCATTGGTGGCATTGTAGATTTGACAGGGATGCCAGGAGTACTTGACGCGAGCATTGAGTAGTTTGGGATATTTTAAGGAAAAGAGGACTGCCCGAGCGCGTTCTCCAAATTTGCCACTCTGGAGGGTTTCTTTTTCACAGCGTCCCGGATTGGCTTTCCAGACGGGTTTTTCGGGCATGCGAGGATGTCCACGAAAGACGGGGATCCGATGTCGCTTCTCCCATGTTATATTGTGAACGTGTTTGTAAGAAATGCCATCGTGTTCGTCTGCCTTTTCCATTTGTTCCTTGACATCTTGAAAGTTGTTCATGGAAAAACCTCCTTGATCGGGTCCACTACTGGCAAAACATTGCCCCCATCCCATGGCCGTTTTACTCCGAACCATGTCCCCTTGCGATTCTCCAATCGAGACATTGTACGGCAACACCCGCGATGCATTTTGAAACAAATGTCGAAAGTACAGACACCATGCATTGTCGGGATTGCATTCAATCACGGTGGGTGGCGTATAGGGTTGATCGACAAAAATGTGATAGCCTAGAGCACAGTATTTGTGTGGATCAAACGCCCACGGATCGGCGGCATCGTCGGGGAGATGCAAGGTGACATTGTCAATGACCTCGAGTAATTCTCGCACGTGGGGGGTGAATTTGGTAGCGGGAAACTGAGGGCGATTGGCGAGTTCTTGCGGCGATGGTAGTGACAGCATTGTAGCAATTTGGTTCTTACTAATGCTGCTAGCAGCATACGTCGAATACTTTTTTTGATGCGCCTGGAGTGTCTGTAGTTCTGTTCGCAGGCTCTGAATTTCTGGATTCTTGGCGGTCTGCAAGGTGTGTATTTGTCGCGTCAGGTCTTCCATGAGTTTCTGATGCTGCGTCAAACTGGTCTGAGTCTCTTGTTGTTGCGTCATTGCCGTTTGTTTGGCCGCCTGCAATTCGGCTTGTAAGCTCTGAATGTTGTCGTCTTGGAGAGACGCCTTCTTGGTCTTCTGTTGAGAGGAATCCTCAGTGTCCAATAATTTCTGCAGTTTTTGCTGTAGCTTGTGGTTCTTTCCATGTAGCATTTCCAATTCTATAGTCATTTGTTCCATGTTCATGCGATGCTCCGCTATTTGATACTGAAAGATCAGCAAACATCCCACCACGGCCAACACACCCATCACTTGGCCTTTGCGGTTCGTGGCGGCATTGCGGGACACGGGGTGTTGTGTGCTATTAGTATTAATAGAACTAGAAGAAGCGGGGGGCGAAGAGCCATTCGAAAAGCCCATGGTTTGGTCAATGGGTGTTGGTTCCTTGGCTGGGTTGGTTTTGTTGGCTGACGGTTGCCAAAAAGTAAGTGGTCGTTGTTTGTTGCATGTGAGTTGTGAGAAAGAAAGCTTTCGTTGCCCTGGCATTTGGGCTCTGGGTCATTGCTAGATTGGTCATTGGTGACATTCACTCCTTCTTGGTCGGAAGCAAGTCTTGAGCCGAGCCGGTCATCCAAATTTTGAGAATTTCAGTCTCGAGCGGAACTGTTTCGTGCTTTGGATCTTTCCACTTGACTTCTTCTTCCCGTTGCCTCATTTATTCACTCCTACAATCTCACTGACTTCTTCTCAAGCAACATGTCTTCGTCAAGCGCCAACAACCTCCCCTTCAAGGTGGACTATGCCAAGAGCGGACGGAGCAAATGTCATACCACCAAGCAACCCATTCCATCTGGGACACTGCGATTGGGGGTCATGGTCAAGAGTCGCCATTTTGACGGAATGCAACCCAATTGGCACGACGCCAAGGCATTTTTTGCCAATAAGCGTGCGAAAAAGCGTCCTACAAGTGTCCAAGAGATGGATGGATTTGACGATTTGCGACCCACGGATCAAGATCAAATCGAAGAATGGATTATGGCAGCTACCAATACTGCCAGTACCAACCAGAAACAAAAAGGCAAGACGAATGACAAGGAGAAACAAGCCGTACGAGATCAAGCTCGATTAGTGTGGGAAATTCGGGATTTCATCACGGGAGAAAACAGCAGCGGCGGCAAGCCCCTGCCCACTGCCACCATCAAGGCCATCTTGCAAGAAAATCAAATTGCTGTGGACAAGTCGGCCGACTTGGTCAAGCTATTGGCGGATGCCGTCGTCTTTGGTGTGCCTCCTGTGGGAGACACAACAGCCGGTGGTTGCTGTGGCACACGGCCCTTGAAATTTTGTGCTCATACCTGTCGCTACGTCTGTCAGGCACCACAAGCTTGGGGAGAATGCTCCTACAGTCAACCGGTAGAAGACACGGTCTGCAAGGCCATTGCCATTCCTGCCAGTGCGGCCAAGAACAAGGCCGTCAAGGAGTGGTTGGGGCAGATCAAAGGAGCCTGTGGATCCGTCACGTTGCAACCGCAGAAACGTCTCTATTTGGCCAAACAATCCAACAACAGCGTGGCCAAGGTCAATCCCTCTATTTCCACTTCCAAGACAAAGAAAAAAGCACCACCGCCACCGCCACCAGCGAAAAAGGGCATTGCCAAACCCAAATTGAGCCGGGCCACGGTCGATCCCGATTGTGGATCCATTGCTGCCACCCATCATGTCTTGGACGAAGCCTTCCATACTACTGGCGTCAAGAATCCCGATTTTGCCGAAGCATTTCCCGTGGATTTGTACGATACCGCACTCTGTCAGACCGACTTGTCCAGTGGGACCAATTCCCAGTACAAATTGCAAATCTTGGTCCACGATTTTTTTACGGCGGGCACTGCCGTCCATTTGTGGCGGGTCTGGGGACGCGTCGGAGGACAAGGTGGCGGTGGCACCAAGTTGGAGGCATTTGATTCCGTCGACAAGGCAAAGGCGGAATTCGGCAAGCTTTACAAAAAGTACACGGGCAACCAGTGGGAGGATCGCAAGAGGTTTGTCAAGCATCCAGGCAAATTCTATCAATTGGATGTCTCTTATGCGGATAATAATGGTGATGATGAAAGCAGCAACCCCACCAACAATGCCAGCAACAAGAAGAAGCAAGCCAAGGTGGTGGCAGGAGATCCCAAATCCAAGTTGGACAGGAGGGTCCAGGAGGTTGTGGCTGCTTTTTTTGACAAGGGCATTGCCACCAGCCAAATGAAAAGTCTCAAGGTTGACTTGAGCAAAATGCCGCTGGCCAAAATCACAGAACGACAACTGAAGGATGCTTATTCGGTCTTGTCCGAGATTGAGAAAGTTCTAAAGCAACAAAACGACAGTGCTATGAGAACTGGCCAATTGCAACAGTTATCCAATCAGTTCTATTCCAAATGCCCATCCACCAACCCCATCTTGATTGATTCCATGAAACTGTTGAAGAATCAAGTGGAAATGGTAGACGAGCTGATCAATTTGATGGCATCCAACAACGTCATGAGCAACAACAGCAACAATGGAGCTTGTGGGGCCATGGCACCCGTGGACGAAGCCTACGAACGGTTGAAGACCAAACTGACGCCCTTGGACCCATCTGGAGAAGCATATGCCATGTTGAAACAGTACGTGGAGAATACCAGAAATGCGACTGTTCCTGGTGTACGAAGTTTTGGCAACAGCAACTGGGAGAGTCGAGGATTGCGTCTGTTGGATGCCTTCGAGGTGGAAAGGGAAGGAGAGGCCAGTCGGTTTGTCCCGTCCAAGTCGTTGGGAAATCGCCGGCTTTTGTGGCACGGCAGTCGGATCAGCAACTATTCGGGCATTTTGAGTCAAGGGCTGCGAATTGCTCCGCCCGAAGCTCCCGTGTCCGGTTACCGATTTGGGAAGGGAGTCTATTTTGCAGACATGTTGGGAAAGAGTGCCAACTATTGCCGCACTGATGGATCAGCAGAGATGTTTGTCATGGCTTGCGACGTGAGCTTGGGCAGCACGTTTGAGACTCCTCGTGACATGTACATGGAAAAGCCACAGCCTGGCTCCCACTCAACGCACGCTCTCTCCGATATCATCCCCAATCCGTCAATGGCGATGCAAATGACGGATAAAGGGGACAAAATCTCTGCCTGCAGCAACGGCATGAGCGCCAAACATCAGGTTCTCGTTCCATTGGGAAAACCAATCCAAAACACCAATGCATCACAGACCCTCAGCTGCGATGTCAGCGAGTTCATTGTCTATGATCAAGCACAGGTTCAGATCCGATACTTGTTGCGGTTGACCACCAACCCAAGAACCACGGCAGCAGATGGAGCGGTGGGAACAAATGTCCCGCAAGCAAGCACAGGTCCACGTATCTTCGTGGGAGGGGTTCCGTTGGCCAGATTGATGCCCGGTGCAGGTATCCCACGGAGAACTGCATCTAGCGCCACAAGCGCAGCGGCGCACTCAGTTGCTGCCAGAGCTCGTTCCAGCGACGACGATAGTGACGATGACAGCACTGCTCCCCCAAAGAAGAGACAGAAAAAGTCAGTCACCTCCTTTATCCGATTGGACAGAGAAGACAAGTCTCAACCCTCTCGTTCTGGGTTGAACGTTTTGAATTGCCGCACGTTTGTGGAAGGGCTTCGGCTGACAGTCGTCAAGGGTGATATCACGGACGCAGCCACAGATGCAATCGTTCTTCCATCCGATGGGCAGCTCAGCTTGGCCGGCATGGTGGGAACCAAAGTCAAGCAAAAGGCAGGGCCTGCGTTTGTCACAGAAGTGAATGCTCTACTTTCGGTGCAGACAGCGTCGCTGGCTGCAGCAACCACCCAACAAGCAGCCGCACCAGTATCACAGCTTCCAAGCAACCTCAGACGTCTCGAAACGACAACAGCAGGAAAGACAATAAGAGAGCTCGCCACAGACGCCAACGTGCCTTACCTGACGCCGTTCTACAAAGTCATCAAGAAGGAAGACGTTTCCGCCACCAAGGATATCATTTGTTTGGAAACAGGAGGGGCGTTTCATCGTGGACAGGCCGCCCGCACGTTTCTTGGCATGGCATCTGGCAAGAAGGTGTCCATTGCACCGGGCCAAATCCCTGCTGGAGCTGAGGTCTTTGTGCAAAGCACAAGCCACAACCGCAAGATTCCCAAGAACTCGGCCGTGTTGCTGGAGACTTCCGTCGCCGCCGCCCCTGCGCCTGCCCCCACCCCTGCTCCAGTGGCACAGCAACAGAGGAAGACACTAAAGACTAGTGAAGCCTGTGTCGTGAGAGGGCACGACCTTGCAGCATCTCGAGTCATCTTCGTTGTCTCGCCAATATTCAGCCAACAGCCATCCCCGATCGCAGCACAGAAGGCGCTCAACCTGGCAGTCAGGAATGCGCTCAAGGAATGTGCCCGCCTGCAGCTTGAGACCGTTACCTTGCCTAGCATTGGGAGTGGCAGAGCTGGTTACGACAAGGGACAGGCAGCTGCCTGGATCATTGATGCTATTGCAGATTACTTGGCGGAAGCAGGTGGCAGTCACACGAAGCGACAATCTTTGCAGGAAGTGTGCTTTTGCCTCTTTGACAATGAGTCATTGGAGGCATATCGCTTGGGCATTTTGCTTCATGAGAAGAATTCAAAACGCAGTTGAGGACGTAGCACGGAGTTGATTCAAATCCTAAATTTTGGCATGTTCAATCTCTTCCTTTCAGCTGGCGGTCGCACCCTGCAAGAGGGCACTTGGTCCTGACGACCTGAGTCACCTTTACATAGAAAGAGACACGAGAGTGACGGGTCCTGGCGTTGTGCATGTACCGGTACCGGTACCGTCTCATAAAATCTTCCAATAGAGTGCTTGCAGTTCCAGCGGTACCGTACGGTACCATTACAGTGTACTGGATGTACCATTCTCAATCAAGTTGAGATTTAACACGCGTCATTAGTTAGGAGACAAAACAAAGAGCTACTTGTAAGACTTGGCGAAACAGAGTTTTTTTGGGTGAATCTTCGCAAAGTGAAAGTGTACCGTACCCATAGTCTAGTCTATGGGAAAGAATCGAAAAACGAAATGCTCTGGAACACCCCCGATAATGTCATTTTGAAAGATATAAGACCGCTTAGCGCTTAAATCATATGGCCTAAATGACAGAAGAAAGTTTCCCGACAAATTCCGACAAAGTGCCGACATTGCAGACA